CCCGGGCCCGTAGTGGGAATTCCCTGCCTGGGGACGCTGTGCTTTTGCCGTGCTGGTGCTCCGGGGTTATTTATTAGCCGTTATTTATTTAATTTATTTCCCTCGCCACCTGATTTWTTTTTTTTTTCTGGTGATAAACCCCAGTATTTCCACATTTAACGCCAAATTCCGTATTTAACGGTCATTCCACGGATTTGGGGGGGATCCTGCCGGCAGCTCCCARCTCCTCTGTGCATTTGGAGATGAGCAATAACTTTTAAACGCTATGCAACGAGTATTTTTTGTTGTTGTTGTTTTTCAAAGAAAATCCAGGCAACTATTTTTGATGTCCCGCTGGCCTCGTGAGCCCGGTTGGCCAAATTTCCCTGGTTTTGTATMAAATTGGGAACGATTTGAGGTCCCTGCCCAGCCCCCGGGTCCTGGGGCTTCTTCCCTTTTGTACCGAAAGTTTTATCCTTTTGTAAAGAGAGCAGATTTGGGGKTTTTAGCTCAAATAAAGTCGTGGTCTTGTTTCAAGCAGCTTCGCCCCGGGGCCGTTTTCTCCTTTTGGGGTGGGGAGGGGCTGCCAGAGCCCCCCGTGCTGGGGTCCGGCTGGGACCCCTCACCTTGGAGTTGGGGGGATTTGGGATCCGGAACTGGGGCACGGTGCAGCCTTGGGGTCCCAGAACAGGTTTGGGCTCCCAAAAATTGGGACACAGCACAGACCTGGGTTCCCAGGACAGGTTTGGGGTCCCAAAAATTGGGCCTCAGCACAGATCTGAGGTCCCAGGACAGGTTTGGGGTCTCAGGTCAGGTTTGGGGTCTCAGGACAGGTTTGGGGTCCCAGGACAGGTTTGGGGTCCCAGGAACTGGGGCACAGCACAGCCCTGGGGGCGCTGGGGGGATTTGGGGTCCCAGGAATTGGGGGTCGGCCCAGCCCTGAGGAGATTTGGGGAGCCGGGACGTGCCCCACCTGCCCCACTCAGGGGGACTCGGCCGTCCTGACTTCACCCCGCGTCCTCCCCCTCCGCACCCGCGGCTCCCTCCGCCCCTCCCCAGCTGCGCCCCGACCCCTCGGCAGCGCCTGGCGGCCGCGTCCCCTCTCGCGGGGACCCCGCTCCGCACGTGTCGCGCCCGCTGTCCCCCGGCCCCGCGCCGGCTGTGCCGGAGCCCGGGGGAGCCGCCGCCGCTCGGCCCCGCAAGCTGCGCCCGGCTCGGGCTGAGGGCGGGGGGATCTCCCGGGGCCCCCGCAGCTGCAGCCGGGCCGGGGGGGCCCTGAGGGGCCGCTGAGAGCGAGAACCGGGCCGGGCGGGGACATGGGGCGAGCGGGGACACGGGAGGGGACATGGGATGGGCACGGGGACACGGGGCGGGCACGGGAACACGGGATGGGCATGGGGACACGGGCACAGGGACACGGGACGGGCACGGGGACACGGGGAGAGCGGGGACACGGGAGGGGACACGGGATGGGCATGGGGACACGGGCACAGGGACACGGGATGGGCACGGGGACACGGGATGGGCACGGGATGGGCATGGGGACACGGGAGGGGACACGGGATGGGCATGGGGACACGGGCACAGGGACACGAGACGGGCATGGGGACAGAGGATGGGCACGGGGACCTCCTGTGTCCCCCAAAAGAGATTTGGGAGAACGGATCTAGGGACAAGCGGGGATGGGGATGGACCGGCCGGGGTTGGACCGGCCTGGACTGGATTGACCCGGGACGGGGCCCGGATTGACACCAACGGGGCTGTGACATCCACACCGTGCTGTCACCCCTGTGAACGCCCCCCGCCCCCCCAGCTCCGGGCCGGGCACCCCCCCGATGTCACCGTGACCCCCCCAGTGCCACCCCAGTGCCCGCGCTGGGGACAGCGGCCGCTGCCCGCCGTGGCCGAGGGTCCAGCTGTGCCCGCGGCCCCCCCGGCCCCTCTCCCGCTGGCCAGTGGCCAAAGCCCGCTCGGTGCCAGCTCCCCCGGGCAGCAGCGCTGCCCTTCCAGCAGCCCCAGCCCGTGCCAGCAGGGCAGGAGCCGTGCCAGGCCGGCGCTGCGAGGCCACAGCTGGCCCCCGGCTCGCGTGGGGAGGGGGCACGGAGCACCCGGGGGTGGGGGCGACCCCCGTGTCCCCGCAGGACACCGGGACAGCGGGTGGCAATGCCGGGGAGCTGAGAACGGGAGAACTCGCTGGGGGCTGTGGGGAGGGTCCCTCGCCCCTGATGGGGGTCCCTGAGCACCCCACGGCCCCCCATGTCCTTCCAGGGGAGGGGATATGGGGCAGATGGGGTTGGAGGGCAGGAAAGGGGTCCCAAATACCCCCACGTGAGGGGATATGGGGCTGGAATGGGGTCTGGGGGGCAAGGAAAGGGGTCCCAAATGGCGAGGGGACATGGGACAGGCAGGGTTGTGGGACAGGAAAGGGGTCCCAGATGTTCCCAGTTGGAGGGACATGGGACAGATGGGGTCGGGATGCTGGGAAGGGGTCCCAGAGGTTCCCGTGGGGCTTTTGGGGTGTCCCCCAATGACAGAGGGGTCCCAGCCCGGGATGAGAGCCCGGCCCCGCTCGGGAGCAGCCCCCGGCCCCGGGGGTCGCCGCTCGGGCTCGCCCTGGTTTCCCGGCGGGGTGGGGGTTCCCGGGGCTGGATAATTGCTAAGCCCCCCTAAAGCCCGGCTTTCCGAGCTGTAATTCTGATATTTGTCTGTAATCTGATAACGCCGCCCGCCATCAGCCCCTAATGTGGCCGGCTCGGGAAACCACGCGGATTTTCCCACTAAGCCGGGATATCGGGATATCGGGCCGCGGGCTCTCGCCTTAATCGTCTTTTCCCCCTCGGGGACGGCGGATTTTGGCAACGAACTTTTCCTGCTGATTGGAGGGGGGAGAGGAGCGGCCGCGGTCCCGGGAGGATCGAGGGGGGGACCCCGGGATGGGGCAGGAGGGGCGGCCCCCGGGGTTAAATGGGGTCACACAAAGCCGTGACCCCCCGGTGCAAACCCCGCTGTCGCTGTCACCTGAGTGGCCCTCAGGAGCAATTTCTGTGCTCCATCAGCTCGAGGAGCTGGTCCGGGATGTGGCTGGGAAGGTGGGGGACTCGTGTTTGGGGTGTCCCATTCCTGCAGGGTCATCTATCATTCATCCATCCATAATCATCCTTTATCCAACCCATAACTATCCCATAATCATTCTCTATCCATCCCATATCCACCCCATAACCATCCCACATCCATCCTTCACCCATCCCATATCCACCCCATATCCCTTCCCATATTCTTCCCATATCCCCCTCCATCCATCCCATATCCATCCCACGTCCATCCCATATCTATCCCATAACCATCCCATAACCATTCCATCCCATAACCATCCCATAACCATTCCATCCCATAACCACCCCATATCCACCCCCTACAGGCTGCTGTCCCCAGCCAGGGCGGGAATTGTGTCCTGCAATGTCACCGAGGGCTGGGAACACCAACTGTCCCCAAATCCTGTAGGGCCGGGATGGGATCGGGGCTGATCACCCCACCCTGCCCCGGGAGATCCCGGGAGACACCGGGAGACACCGGGACA